TGAATTCATTCTAATTTATCTTAAAAGATACAATTAAGTAATCAGACTTGAGCATAATGAAAAATAGTCCTCCTCTGGAGGAAGGAACAATCTCTAAAAATTGGGAAAGCAGAAAGCAGTGAGAGGAGATCTTTAAAGAGAGACTGCTGTGCTACCTTATTGCAAGCTGTTTTGGACAATGTAGATGAAGCTGTTGCCCACTAAACTTTTTAAGAGCTTTGTTCCTTATTAAAGTGTAAAAGGAACATCTTGCCAATTCTGAGCTACCTTGGTCACTTACTTATGGGGTTATTTTGTCCATTCCACACAGAGGCGCATTTCTGAGTGGTCAAAAATTGTAATCCAGCTGTGCCAAAAAAATTATATAAATCTGGGCTACCAATTCAGTAGCCTAAGTGCCACAAGTGGTCTTCCTTAAAGTTTTATTTCAGCCTTCCAGGACACAACTAAAGCAAATGTGTGCCTGCTGATGTGAACTGATTTGCACTTAATGCCAGGAAAGACAAGCAATTGTGGCTATTTATCTAGTAGTTTACCATAGTTTGGATCATTTATTTAGTGTTTGTTAAATTGTTTGATGAAATATCTGCTTCTTGGGATGCAAGGACTCAGCGTTGATCACCACAGAAAGCAAAGCATTATATTAAACTCCCAAACCATAACAAGCGGTAACTTTGCAAATAAAAGTGTCCAGGTTGCAATTTAGAGATTAGCACCCTATCTTGCAATCTACCCTGAAGCAGAGGATAGAGCAACTGGGATTTTTTTCCTGCTCTGTTTTCCTCTTAGACCTTCTCTAGAACTGCATTCAGTAGCGGATATTAAGACTTCTCCACCCCTAATATCTTAAGCACCATAGCAAGAGGAAATTGTGCCTTGTGGGAAAACACACACAGGATGTTATCTATCAGATTTGGGGGCAAAATGACCCAGTGGAATGTTTGTAGTGCACTGATTACAGCTCTGCTGTCAATCAGGAAGCAAAGGAATTGGGATTTCTTTTTGCCTGGGTGAGTTTTCACACTGACCATAGCATGTTGTTCCAGATGGATGCACCACTAAAAGCCCAAGGCAAAGTAAGCCACCCCATGAATTAGATGCAGGATAAGAGATAGAGTAAGAGGCTTCCAAGCCACAGCTTTGTGAGTGACAGCTGCAATAATGGACATTTAATGGTATTGCCTATTGTGTGGCAATTTCTTTCAGATAGTCCAAAGCTGTAATCAACCGTATTTTAAGGGTCACCTTGCATTGATAGCCTCTCTTTTTAACAAAGGCATTTCCTGAGCAGCCACTTTGAGGAACAAAGGGTGGGAATCCAAAGATTCAAAGCAAAATAAAGTTGCCACCTTTTGTACCAGCCAATAAAAATTTCCTTGAGGATTAAAGTGTAGATAGGTATCATTCCTCTCCGAGGATTGCGCCCTGAACTTTGGACTGCCACCATAATTTCAAGAAATGAACTGAGAACCTAACAAACATATGCACCTTTCACCATCTGCACAGATCCATATTTTCTTTTGTCTTGCAATCATAACTGCTACATAGCTTCTTCTATTCCCCCTCCCAAGTCTATGTAATGTTCGTCCATGCAGTGACTGCAAGTGGCCACTGAAGCAAAAAGGATGCTGAATGAAGTAGACTTTTGAACTGATCCACCAGAACTCTGCTTATAATAGCCAGAGTTAAACAAGTGGCCTTCCAGATGTTGATGAGCAACAACTTCCAGGATCTCTCACCTTTGGCTATGCAGCGATATTCATCCTGTTAGAGCAGGAAAGTAGCTGGTGTGTGTATTTTGATCCCAGCCATCAAAGCACCTGTCTAGGTAAGTTTTTCCCCTTTCTGTAAGACAGACTTTGTAATACGGTACTTATACACAGCTGCATCCCCACTTAACTGATATGGACTTTATTGGTTGCTACTTTTACTGTCATGAGGTAGAAGAAAATGAACTTGACCAGGATCACAGCTTTCATCTAGATTCTTGGGTATCTGGGGCCCTGCTGACAATCCACAATGAACTTCCTTCTTTGGATCTGCAAAAGATGAAAGCATTGTTCATGTTAAGTCATTAGGAATCAAAACAACCCTGATGCCCAACCATCAAGTAACTTCTAACTGTCCATCAGAAATATTGGTCCTTGCTAATTTGACCCCTAAGGTCCTATTATCATGGCCATTCTGCTGATTTCAGGACTCTGCAACAATGGGACAGAGAGTTCCCAAAGCTGAGCCAAATGGGAACAGCATGGTGCCTTATCTCCAGGAAAAATAGAATGGCCTACATTCTAGTCCTAACGTGGTTCTTCGTTCCTCAATCAATGGCAGCTTGTCAAGTCTTATCTCTGGATTTCCTGGTTTTGTGCCACAGCCTTCATGTTATTTCAGCAAACTTTTATATCTAATTTAATTTCCTTTTTTTTTTTTTTAGCCTCAATATTGGAAAGGAAATATTTTCTATGAGGTTCAGGCTAGCCCATTGCCTGAAAGACTGAGTTCATGGTGTTATCAGGGACTAAGGAGCAAATAAATCTGGAGCAAAAAGTATACAAGTACGGAGCATGGGAACCAAGACCTATCAAGAACAGCACAACAGATTAGAAAATGTAA